ATCCATAGGCAAAGCTACCTGGGAGGGGACCGAAGGAGTCAAGATGTCCACTAGGGCATGGGAGGTCGCTGCAATCTCCTCCACCTGGATCCCCAGGTTTTGGGCTAACCTCCTTAGTAGATCTTGGTGCACCCTGTGGTCATCCTGTGTGAGTGTAATGGAGGTTCCCACTACCACCTTATCTGAGGAGGAGGAAGAGGATGCTAGGACCGGTACCAGGCCTTGCTCCTGTCCATCAGCACCTAGCAGACCCCATGGTGCCTGTCCCTGAGGTATGGTACCGGGCTCAGTACCTGGGCCCTGTTCCTGTACCACAGGAGGAGATGGTGAGCCTCTACCCTCCGATGCAACAGAGTATGACCTCCTTGACTGAGATTCTTGGGTCTTATGAAAAGCCAAAGGAGTCCAAAATAATCATTACACAGGCATCAGTGTCTGTGCCAGCCAGGCAATTGGTGGAAACCCCCTGGCCCATATCCACCATCAGGTACTGTTGGTCAGACCGGTGCCGGCTCCTGTGGGAGCTGCAGGATTCCAGCTCTGAATCTGAGGGTGAGGATTCACTCCCCGATGACCATGGGAGAGCGGTGCCAGACGGTACCAGCGAGTGGTGCCAAAAGGGGGGTGACTGATGCTGCGGCATCAATTGCTGGTTTCCCCTTCGACGGCACCTGGGGTCTCAGTGCCTTAGCTGCTCATACCTCCAGCGCTGGTTCATGCCTGGTGTCGGATAGTGGTACAGTAGGGAAATCAGGTCCTGTGCTGCCTGGAACACCTCTGGTATAGATGGAAGTGCCAGTCTTGTGTGCCTATGGCTCTCTCTCAGAGGAGAGTCCAATGGCACCCTTTGGTCTCTTTCTTTCTGGCTACAGGGTTTGAACCCTTTACAAACTCTGCAGTGGTCACACAGGTGAGATTCCCCAAGGCACTTGAGGCAAGCTGAGTGGGGGTCGCTAATGGACATAGGCTTGTGGCAAGCCTCACATGGCATGAAGCCCTTAGACCGAGGCATGATCCTGTGACAGGGACGGGAGAATCCCGTTAAGAGGGGTCCTACTTTATTACTACTAACTAATACTAACTGTAGCAATTAACTACTAATTTTTCAGCTATATGCAGGAAAAACAAAGTCTATCGGGGAGAGTACTTGCAAGAGCAAGAACGAGAAGAAGCTCCAGCAACCATGACTGGTGGAAAGAAGGAACTGAAAGGGTGGCAGCTTGGCAGATCCCTATATACGGTGCCATGAGGGCATGACTCCAGGGGACACCAGAGACAATCTAACGGATACCACTGAGGGAAAAACTTTCTGGCAGTGGTACATGCAGCACATGCACACCTACATTGGAATGGACATGAGCAAGCACTCGAAGAACATAAATATTGGTGAAGGATGAAGTCTACTGTGATATGAAGATACTCATCCTGTAAGATTACTGGTGCTAAAGCTTTTGGATGAACTCCTAATATTACTGATTGGAGATAGATTATCTATATCTTGTATATTACTGTCTTTTGTATGGCTAATCATGATCCCCAAACTGCATGATTTGTCCTCCACAGAGTCATTCTGAACTTGAGATTCTGGGTGCAGGCAAAAACACCTTCTCTCTATTCTACCATGAACTTCAAGGTTAATCTGAGTGATATCATGGTGAAAAAGAGAATGAGCATTTACAGAAATAGTCTTACTGAGGATCTTGGACAGGACCAGTAAGAGGAAGAGGGATCAGGAATATGTGGCTGCTGCTGAGTGTCCTCTGCTTATCTTCTCTGCCAGCTGGTCTTCTGGGCTGTCTAGAATTCCCATCTCAATCCCTTAACCTCTGAGGGAATGGTGAGGGGAAGTTCCAGGCACTGCTGAGTCGTATGGTGTTCTTTCCAACGGAACAGGGCCACAGCTAGGGAGGGGCGAGAGGGGCAGCTGCTCAGGGCGCAGAGCCGGCATGGGCGCAAAAATGGGGCAGTACAGGATTGGGCTCAGCAGCATCAGCCCCCTGTCACAGTTACTCCCTCCAGTACCCTCCAAATATCCCCCAAATGTCCCTCCCAGCACACAGACACCCCTTCAGGATCCTCCCCCCGTTAGTGTGCTTTATTTGGAAATTTAAAATATGGTAACTCTAGGGGTTGCTCTGTTCTCACGGCCTTGGTTTCTGGAGCTGGCAGGAGCGAATTCACCTGCCAGCAGCTGCCTGCCCCCAGCTCCTGGGCTGGGCACCAGGCTCACATGGCTGAGCTCAGGCTGTGTGATTGCGAGCCCAGCAGCCAAGGGGAGCAAGGGGCGGTTCCACTGTGTGTAGGGAGTGTGGTGAGTGTGACCTGGCTGCAATGGAAGGCCCCTGGGCAGCAAGTGGGGCGTGACTGAGCTGCTGTAAGCAGGTGCCCAAGGGGAATGAGTACTCCAGGGAGCACCTTGGGGAGCATCTTATGGCAGCCAGGCTTCATGGACAGGGGCTGGTTGCAGGGGGTGTTGCTGGCCAGCACCAAGCTCCTTCGGGCAGAGACGAGAAGGTTTCAGGAGCTCGGAGCAGTGCCACCACTCTGCCTGGAAAGCGCCTGGCTGCGCAGAGGTGGCCTGACTTGGGAAACAGGGCAGGGAGGGCTGCCGGGCAGCCAGCCAGCACTTCGGTTTCCACAGCATGAAGAGCCAAGGGCCTGAGCAGACTGGGTGGCTTCCACCAGCTTCCGATCTGCTGGCCCCTGGCAGAAGGCAATGGTTTTCAAACTGTGGGGTGCATTTCACATGTAAGGTGCGCCCCTCAGTTTGAAAACCGCTGTGCTAAATGGGAGGCAGAATTCTGGGAGGGGGCGGGATGTGATCCTGCATGTCCCCCATATGGCACCTCTAGGGAGTGCAAATATGATTGATACCACAGATGCTAAAATGCTTTGTTACAGCTCTGCAACAGAGACCTTCCCCAGCTCCAGAAAGCACAAACCTGTCCTGCACTAATGACTCCACTTTTTGGCCATCATCCTTACTTTTCATTTTAGTTTTTTTTCCACAGAAATTCTCTTCAGAAATGCAGGAGTACTTCTGATGACAATGTTACAACACTACAACATCCCTTCCCCAATCAGCAGAAAGACAAATAGATCTGAGAGTCCATTTGAGTAGGGTGCCAATCAGCCATACTGGGGATTAAAGCATGTATCAACTCAGTAGAACTCTTAACTGCTATATTTCTCATATCTATCTTATGGTTTGGACGAAAGGGACCAAGTATTCTCTACTACATAACTTAGTTTGGTGAAGTCGGAAGTTATAAAATATATCTCTTCATAATGGAAAAATTGTTCCTAACATACAGATGAGAGACAATAGTTCAGAAAGATTCCAAGCACCTTCTCACTTCTCTTTTGAATATATTTATTCCATTTTTCTAACTGTTCTCTAAGTTTTCTGGATTTTCACTGAACAAGAAATTTTCAAAATATAAAATTTTAAACATTTTGTTTTTTTCTTTTTCTGTGCCTTTTTTCCTTTCTGCCACCGAATGAGATAGTGTGCTTGTCTAGATTTTTTTCCATTGTTCTTTTTTCCCATTTCTCTCTTTTTAAATTTAATTTTTCCTTTTGCCCCCTCTGACTTCTCAAATCTACTCAACTTCGGAAAAGTTGGAGAAGCAAAAGGAAAAGTAGCAAAGTTCAACTAACCAACCCACCCAACCCCTGAAAGTTATTCATATTATTGTATTCTGTGGCAAAAAGGGAAAAAAGAAGAAGGGGGGGGTGAAGAGGAGGAAGAGAGGAAATGAACATTTTAAAATTCAAAATAAAAAAAAAAGTTTGGTAAAACCTTAAATTCTTCCACTTAAGACCTTGTAAAACAAACGACTACAAAAAGATGAATTTTGTGTGTGACATGTTTTTCCATTTTTCAGACAACTAATTGTAACATACTTTGTTTTTCTTCAAAATAGGTGAAGGTGCTGAAACAGCAAAATGAGACAAATGAAAAATAAAAATTTAATAAAATTAAAATATTTAGTCTCCTAAAATGTCATTTTATCAGATCAGATGCCAGATCCTCAGCTGCACAAGATTATCTACTTGCTACCAAGGAGGAGAGGAGAAGAGCAAAGATGGGTTTAAGCCACCTTTGCATACACCATGTCCTCAGTATAAATCTGGATCAGCCTGAGATTGGTTCTAAATTATGCTAGCTTGTAATGGCCAAAGAGCCCTTACACTAGCCAGGTATTACCAAAGCGCAACACATGCCAGTCACATCTCTTCTCAACTGCACCTCACTAAGCTGGCCTCTAGGGCATCAGAGACTCCTCAAGGGCCAAACTAAGGCAGCTTTCCAGGTCCTCTGTGCTTCTGGAGTAGAACAAATGGGCTGGGAGAGGGACCAGGACCTGTCTTTATTACAATAGTACAGTATTGTCGGAGAAAAACACAGTTCCCTAACTGTCAGTTCTTTCTCTGCTTCCACAGTATGAATCATTGAATTATAGAATATCAGGGTTGGAAGGGACTTCAGGAGGTCATCTAGTCCAACCCCCTGCTGAAAGCAGGACCAATCCCCAACTAAATCATTCCAACCAGGGCGTTGTCAAGCCTGACCGTAAAAACCTCTAAGGAAGGAGATTCCACCACCTCCCTAGGTAACCCATTCCAGTGCTTCACCACCCTCCTAGTGAAAAAGTGAGGCCAAATTCCCTCTTCAGTGAAACAAGTTTAACTGAAAAGAGACCGAGGATCCCTATTTTTACTGTACAGAATGTTATAAAAGAAATTACTATTTGAATAATTTAATTAGTTGAGAAACAATATATAATTATATATGGAAAGACCACATGCTAATGATTGCACATGAAGGCAGAAAATTAAGATTTAACTTTCAACCTTAACTCTATTTCCTGATAATTGAATGCTTGATTTTTCAACATTAATGTCCTACTACTGTTTGTCTTTTCAATGGAATAATTATATTGGTAATACGATGTCAATGTATTTGGTTTCTCCAAGGCAACTGTTGGAATACTTACCTTGCGACATGATTAATTACTGGAGCAAAGTTTGTTGGTCCATAAAGCTGTACAGATTTTAAACTTCTATAATATGCCTCCATTACACCATCAATTCCATTGCAATAGGGATTTTGAGGGTTTCCATTCTAAATAGTTTAAGAAAATTGGATAAGATTAATAACTGAAATATTAACACTCAATCAAAATAAGTATTATCACAATATACAGAGAAAGTTCTAATATGGTATTTAACTGAAGATTTTGTGTTCCTTTGAGGTATGAAACAAAAGACTAATACTGTATGAAGTGTTGTTGCAGCTGTGTCAGTCCCAGGATATTAGAGAGACAAGGTGGGTGAGGGTAATATCTTTTATTGGATCATGTTTTGGAATATATTACTACTTAATAATTTCTTATTTAAAATATTTCAGGAAAAATAATATGGTGGCCAGACCCCAATGTAAATACAGTTGTCATGAATATAGGGGGAAGGGTAGCAACCTTTATGTATGTTTGGCAGCTGTACTGGATTGCCTTACCTGTAAAGGATTAAGCAGTCCAAATAACCTAGTTGGCACCTGCCCAGAAGGACCAATGAGAAAAGAAGATACTTTCAAAAACAAGGATTTGTTTTTGTTCTGTGTGTTGTCCCCTCTCTGGATGGAGAGAGAAGCCAAGCAGGTACAATATCTCCTGAAATAATCCATATACCTGGAATAATCCATCTAAAACCACAGAAACTGTGAGTAGGTCAAGGAAATGCATTAGGTTATCTTTTGTTTTGTCTTGTGAATTTCCCTATGCTACAGAAATAGTTTCATTCCTGTTTTCATAATTGTGAAGCTGAGCCCAGAGGGGAATCCTCTGTGTTTTAAATTTTTGTATTACCCTGTAAAGTTACCTTCCATTCTGATTTTGCAGGTGTGATTCTTTTACTTTTTTCTTTATCAATAAAGTTCTTCTTTTAAGAACCTGATTGATTTCAGTGTCCTGAAGACAAAGGGTCTGGGTCACACTGCTAAGGCAACTGGTTGGTATATTATTCTCAAGCCTCCCCAGGAAAGGGGGTGAAAGGGTTTGGGGGGATATTTTGGGGGGACAGGGATTCCGAGTGATCCTTCCCTGAATTTTTGTGTAAACCACTTGATGGTGGCAGCAAAATACCGTCCAAGGACAAGGAAAAGAATTTGTGCCTTGGGGATGTTTTAACCTAAACTGGTAGAATATAAGATTAGGGGGTCTTTCATGCAGGTCCCCACATCTGTACCCCAGAGTTCAGAGTGTGTGTGTGTGGGGAACCCTGACAACAGTATATAAGTGTAAGGGAAGCTGTAGTTTTATTGCCTTCAGTATTCTGCTCTGTACTGGGCAAACTGATCCTGAGCACGATTGGACCTAGTGCACAAGGGGGACAAATGGGACCTGTGAGCTCACTATGTTGGGAGAGACAGGACTGCTTGGAATTCTTGTACTTGAGACTAAGCTTTTTGGGGCAGGTTTTTTTTTACTAAATCTTTACAACACCTATCGCACCAAATGCCTATGCACAATGGGCTGCCAATTTGGAGGGACCTATTTATTTGTTTCATAATATGTAAATATGTCAAATCCCAGTTTAAGATTCCATACTGAATCTCAGGGCTGGTAGTTAGAAAAAAAACTTAACTTCTGAAATGATTTGATTTTATGAGCCAATTGTCCAGATATAGATAACACCTGCAGGCCTCAATCATGATGTTAAACTTCTACCACCACCAAGCACTTGGTGAATACTCTTGGGGTCATTGAATACTCAAAGGGCAGTGCATCTTATACTGGTAGTGACTGAAAGGACACTGAGACATATCCTGTGTCTTCTCTTATTGAAATGTAGACATAAGCATCTTGAAGATCTAAGGCCCCAAACTAGTCCTCCAGGTTTAGAGTAGTGATAATACTTCCCAGAGCAATCATCTAGAACTTTATCTTCACAAAGTATTTGTTTCATTTTCAGAGTGCACAGGACACCATTCTATTTGGGAATAAGTTAATACCAGAAAACACCTTTTCCTTCAGTAAAGTTCTGGCATCACCTTCTATGGTACCTATACTCAACAGTGCAAAGATCTCTTCTTGTAGTTTTTCTCATGAGATACAATGGGAGGGGGGCTTTGGCATTAGATCAAACTAGAGGGAACACTGCCTCCTGTGAGATGTACAGATTTCAAATATGCCCTTGCGTGTGTTAAGAATAATAACTATAATTCCTTCTGGCCTTAAATCAGAAAAATCTACCAATCTATTCCCCTATCAAGGACAGAACCAAGGTTACAGTATGTACCTTTGTTTACCCCTAAGTAATGTCTATCTCAATCTAACCAAAAATAATAGGAAACCAGCAATCCACACTTCATCTTGACCGTGATAATACACTTCACTGAGATAAGTGAAGTTTGAATCAGAATTTTCCAGGGAACTGATCTGGAATGTTTAAACAATATATTTTAACTATGCTTGTGCAATGGATTAATATTGAGACCATTTTATACATTTATATATGAATGGAGTCTTTGAATGGCTAAACAAAGTCCACCCAGAAGATTAAACAAGGATATAGAATATATAGAAAAAGAGGATGTTTTCCTATGCAGACAAACCCATAATGTTCTGAGAGTTAACCAAATCACAAAGGAGTATGAAAACTATAGAATTTATGCAAGGTAGAAATAACTTAAATAAATAAAAAATAAATTAATGGAGATATCCTATCTCCGAGAACTGGAAGGGACCTTGAAAGGTCATCGAGTCCAGCCCCCTGCCTTCACTAGCAGGACCAAGTACTGATTTTGCCCCAGATACCTAAGTGGCCCCCTCAAGGATTGAGCTCACAACCCTGGGTTTAACAGGCCAATGCTCAAACCACTGAGCTATCCCTCCCTCTTGCTGTCTGAACCAAAGAAACTGAAGGTTACATGGGCCAAAATTCCTTATACCCCACAGAAGTCCAACACGCGTTTTCACTCCAAATTAAAAACTGTACTGTGTCTGCCTTATCAATCAGCTATACCATCTTTCTATATGTGGATAATTTGTCTAGGTCCTTCAATATTTCTTATTTTATTGTAAGCTTTGAAGAATGTGAAATGAAAGATATTAGGTATATGTGATGGTACCTCCCATAAGGCTTTATGGAAATATGCTTAGAATGTGTTTTATGCTACATATGCCATGTAACATATCTCAAAGGTTATGATCTACTGAATCTATTAATCCTATTTGTATGCATGTATCATTTTTTGTATTCGAAGTTATGAATATTGGCTGTGTACTGATTTGATTTCTAAATAACCGTAGTAGAGCATTTGGTCAGTTCCTGGAGAAAGAAATGTTGAAGTTAAGTACCTAATCAAGAGACACTTAAAGGACAATGAATCTTGGAATGCTCCAATCCACATAAGAAGTCTACTTGAGGACGTTCATGGTAGCATGTGACCCATGGCTGCTACCTGGTAAGAAACTATGAGTCATGCATGGACATGTGACTTTCCCAGGTGACTCCTAAACTCCATCTTGGAGCTGGACTTTGCATAGGAGAGGGGAGGGGTCTCCACCCACAAAAAGAAAGTCTATTTAAGCCCATGGGAGACCCCTCCATTTTGTCTTCAGCTGGCTAAAGAGAGATCCTCTCCACCCCCCACAATACTTGAAAGAAACTGGAACAAAGGACAGTGTGCAAAGGGTGTGAGTGATCGCTGGACCCAGGCTAAAAGGAGATTAGTCTGTAGAAGGGAGCATTCTGGAACTGGTGAGGATCTTATCTGTATTCAGTTTGATTAAACATAGATTTGCGCGTTTTATTTAATTTTGCTTGGTGACTTACTTTGTTCTGTCTGTTACTACTTGGAACCACTTAAATCCTACTATCTGTATTTAATAAAACCACTTTTTACTTATTAATTAACTCAGAGTATGTATTAATACCTGGGGGAGCAAACAGCCGTGCATATCTCTCTATCAGTGTTATGGAGGGCAAACAATTTATGAGTTTACCCTGCATAAGCTTTATACAGGGTAAAATGGCTTTATTTGGGTTTAGACCCCATTGGGAGTTGGACATCTGAGTGTTAGAGACAAGCACACTTCTGTTAGTTGCTTTCAGGTAAACCTGCAGCTTTGGGGCAAGTAATTCAGACCCTGGGTCTTTGTTGGAGCAGACGGGAGTGTCTGGCTCAACAAGACAGGGTGCTGGGGCCCCGAACTGGCAGGGAAGGCAGGGGTAGAAGTAGTCTTGGCACATCGGGTGGCAGCTCCCAAGGGGGGTTCTGTGATCCAACCCGTCACAGTATAATCAAAGAACGTATGACCATGTTCACCAAATTCTGTGGAATTAGAAAGGACTGTTTTCTTTCTAAATTATTGTTGCATTGTAGAAATTTTATGAATTATATGGCATAAGGAAGCACAAACACCTAAGCCGTGTATAGTCTTAAACTATTAAAAAATTCTTAAAAGGGGAATTCTAATTAATAGGGTGCTCAATACAAAATACAAACTTTGAAATGAATAAAATGTAAAAAACCTCTGACAAAGAATAGAACCAAAGAAATTTGTTATATATCAAAACTATCTACTGGATATCAATGGAAGTAGCAGGAAAACTGGGGACTAGAAATCAGAAAGCTGGTTAACAAGTGTCCAGTAGAAATAAAAAAGCTGCCAACCTCCAATAATCCCTGAAAAGAAGGTATAAAACTGGAGGTCACCAAGTGGAACCTCAGATTTTGCTGAACTCATCAAAGAACCTGTCGAACTCCAGACGTGCTACCAGACACTTGTACTTGCCATGTGGACAGCTTCTCCCTGCCTCCATGGTTACCAAGACTTAGAAGAAAGAGAGAGATTTCAGAGGTTGATTTATCTTTGTCTTTAATATAAGTAACGAAATGTTATCTTGCTAAGTATGCACTCTTTCTAGTGAGACCTCAAGGAACTAAATTTTAGGATTTTAACTAAGTAATGTTTGTGACACTGCACCCCATATTTTTTGCAGTGATATTATTATGATATGATTATGACATAATTATAATGTATTTTATGCAAGATAAGTCATGTGAGGTGTCATTGGAAAAGTTACGAGTAGCTGAATGTCATATTTATTTGCATGTAT